GGTCAATAGACTCTTTAGAAGATTACATATCGCAAAAGGATTCTCCAAATTAATATATTGAAGAAGGTTCAAAAGTGAAGTTTATCGGTGATCCAGATAGTTTCCTTTCTGCGGATTGTTGGGGCTCTGGGTGCAAATCAACCACCGTCTAGTGTATTTGTAGTATTGAAGATATATTTGGATAGTGGAATTTTGGTAGTTTTTTGCTGCTTTCCGTGGCTAATTTATGTGTTATTTGTATAGAAGTGGTGGTTTTTTAATTTAGATTTTTATTCAAGAATCCCGAATATTTGAAATAATGTTTTCCTGTCTTACTGTACTTTCTAAACATTTTTATTTACCGAATCTGATTTATTAGATTAAAATTAAACTCTGATATGATTAAATTGTTTTTCACTGTCATTCGGAACAACTGTTTGAATATACCATAGTAAAAAATATTGAATGTATATTGGAATTTATTAGGTAAATTGAAAACTTTGTGGCATTGCTAATCCTGTAAACCCCTGAAGCTACAGATTGGTATCGATACAGTAACATATTTTCTCTTCTTCCTTCAAATGCTTCCTTGCATAATGGGCACTTAAACATTTTTTTATTTCTGCAAGAGCAGCTATTTATTTCTGAATAAAAATTAATATTTATGTGTCTTACCGAGCTCCAACACTTGGAAAACTATGCCTGTTCACTTTTCCACTGTAGTTGCTCTCTCCTTGCCACATTGGCCCAGGCCCAGCCATGGGGCGGTACCTGGAGTTTGAAGGATAGTACCCACAAGATGGCATAGCGTGACCTGGAGTCTGAGTAGATCGGGCTGTGGAAAATTGACCTGCAAAAAACACTAACTGAGCAATTGACCAATTGATTAATTAATTAATTTTGCTTTTAAGCGTCAATTCCTCTAACTCATCTATCCATGTTCCCGATCGAGAGTAATAAGAACACAGGACCGAAACAACAACAACAATATATTATTAAAAAACTAGAATTCAAGTCGTTTGCGGTATTGAAACTAAGGTCACGGTTTCAGAACTTTTCCTTCATTACATAAACGAACATAATTTGCGTAATTTACATTTAGGATTTTTGATGATTATTTTTTTCCAATGCAGATTAATGTTACTAGAACCGTAGTTACTGTACTATAGGAGTTATTGAATACAAATCACCAATTTAACTGTTGAAAACGATGAGATTTAACCTAATTCAAAAGTATGAGTTGGTACTCAAACAAAAAGTTTTTCTCCTTGTATACATCGCCTCATATTAACCATCACTAACTAGTCTGAGTAAGTATTTAGTAAGTAGTATTACCAGCTAATGGAGATTCACTCCGACTTCCACTCATCATGGCATGAGGAGGCGGTTGTCCATTTGGATAGGAAACTCTGTTTAGAACCTTTGGAGGCACAGGTGGTAACATATTCGGATTGTAATGGTGCTCATCCATATGATGGTGTGCCCTCGATTGATATATCGGTTCAATGTAACGTTTGTTGATCTGATTTTGACTTGATACACGTGTAACATAGTCGCTGGTGCCAGTCTGGTGGTAATATTGAACTGGTTGGTATCTGCAAAATAATTAATAATAATGTTAATAATGCTAATTGCATTCGAGCAAAGAACACAGTTTTGCTAAACGACAATAAGGCCGCGGCTAGTTTTTTGTGAGCAAGTTTTGAGCAGCAAATGAAAATGGATTAGTTTTCCAATTGAGTTCCGAAACTTTGTATGTGCGATTAATTTTTTAATTAAATTTGATACTTTGTTTGGAAAAATATATAAGGCTTTAAAGTTTAATGTTATATGGATCAGTGTCGATATTTCTAAAGCTGCTGTGTTATTTGATCTAAAATGTGATAAAATTCGACAGAGGAAAACAGGCTGAAATAAACGAATAAATGTAATTTTCTCGATAACAAAGTCAATTCGGAAATTTTGATAAGCGAAGAATCAAACACAGCTTTAAAAAATTATCAAATGGAGGTGATTGTTAAAATTCCGAAAATCGGCAAAAATATAGTGAAAATCTATTGTAATTGCAATTAAAAAATATTGTACACATTTTAAAAAATATATAACGTTTACTAAAATTAATACGCATCCAAGTTAATATACCTCAAGATGCAGTATTAATTGAAGTAAGTATTGACAAATTCGACGAAGAAAACGGTGCGAAAAGCAAACAAATCAATATTTTTTGTGAATTAGAGAAACCCGGCATTAAAGCTCATCAACTGAATCGGTTTGTAAAATTGAAAGAATCAGTAAAAAAATGGTTACAATCTTCTGTTTAGTTGCACTAAAAATGTTTTTTCGAAGTTAAAGTTAAATACAATCCTGTATCTTTTCACTAAAAGGTGGAAGATCTGTACTTACCCTTCTATATGATTATACGGAATATACACCATTGTTTGGTGGAACTGTTTCGACATATCCATTGGTGGAGGAGATTGAGGTCGACCATTTCTTGGTCGCGACCCTGGTACCGGTTGGTAATAATCCGTTCCCATGCGTATGACTGAAGAATAAACGTTTGCGTTCGATCTAAATAATGAACAAAAAAAAACAGCGATATTAATTCTGCAACACTCCATATATTTATTTATTTGTACAGCTTTCAGCTTAATTCATTCAACTGGTGTTCCTGTAAAACCAAGAAACATTTTTCGAATTTCAAACTGCCGACTAAACGCCAAATGTAAACTTAATTTATGGTAAATCATAAAAGTAATTCAATTTATACTAAGAAAATCGTTGAGTATGATTCACCAAAACACAGTTATTTTCTGGAGAATGTCGCTCTATTGTTTAAATGAGTTATTTCTTAGTTTTAGTAGACTTTTGCTTGGTTTATTTATAGTTTACATAATTTAATTTGTAACTAAATAACACATTATATTGAAAAGGCATACCAAAGTTGGTAAACTGAGTCTCATAACAATATGTTGGGACTGAAGTTTCCCAAAAATATTCTTCTATGAGTTGAATTTACAAATTTATTATTAATGCGTATCCTTACTTACTTATTATTAATTCCAAATCAAAATTAATTCCTGGGTTTCAGTAATTTATTGTCTCTATTTATCAATTAAAATACGTTTCGGTGTTTTCCACCATCATCAGTTTTTGTGTAGCGTTGTCGCTACTTTAAGCCTTGGCATATATTTTAGATATTATTATACATATATAAAGAAAATATCTGCCAAGGCTTAAAGTAGCATCAACGCTACACATAAAAACTGATGATGGTGGCAAACACCGAAACGTATTTTAATTGATAAATAGAGGCAATAAATGACTGAAACCCAGGAATTAATTTTGATTTGGAATTGAAACACAGCCAGGAAAGTATGTACAACTTATTATTAATACTTTACTTTTACTGTTTATTTATGTAATTTTTTGTAGCTGGCTTATTTTATTGTTTAAATTTATTAACATAATCATACATAAAACGTATTTTCTTCGTGAGCAACTAAGAGCTTCTAGAGGAAGTCAAAAAATGGAGAGGAAGTAAAAATATTTTAACTTTTATAACTGTATTTACTTATATCAGATTTGTTTGGCTCTAAAAATAAATACTTCTGTTTTTCCTCAATCACAAAGTTTTCAAATGATAAAAAGCTTGTTGATTGATCTGTGGTTCGTCTGGAGAGTTAAGATGAAATTAGTTTGTTTTGCTCTATCAACATTGAAGCTTAAAATCAAAAGGCGAAAATCTAATAAATATTTTAGTTGTCTCCTTTTGTGATTTAATGCTTTACAACCTGCACGTAGCGCCTTTGCATGGGTAACTTTGTAATAAAATGTATTATTTAAACTGGTTTTTAAACGCATTCTTGTACGACGAGAGAATGAAGAAATTTATTCATTTATTTTGCCTCACTGGGCTTCGGGACATTGGATTTTTTGAGACTTTACATAATCCACAAAAAAATAAGATTAAAATTTGAATTAAAACTTAACAACTGAATCATTGGTAACAGGAAAAATATTGACAGAGAATTGTAGAAAATATGAATAGTGCATTTATTTATATCAAAAACCAAGACAACTAGAAATAATTTTATTTTGTAAGTGAGATCATACATTTCAAGAATGTGAACATTATTTGAGATGAGGAAAATCGRAAAGCTAATCTTGTTAATGGGGTTCTGTAAATAAAAAAGACGTTTCTCCGACACAAAGCGAATAAGAGTTTGACTACAAATTCATGAGAACAACAATCAGATGTTTATGGTCAGTGGATACATACATACAACTGAGACATTGATCAAACGTATACGGTCATCGTTTTTTGCAATTGGAATAAGGATTGCAATAATAATAAAAATAATTGATTGCATGTACATTAATCCAGTGTAAACTGTCCACCTGTGCTTGCGAAACGTTAGGAAGAAAATCGTTTCTAAAACTGCAATTTAAATATGAAACAGTTAAAGTAAATTAACACTATTTTGTAATCAAATATCTAAAAATCTAAGTAATTATTTTTTAGAACCAGAATAAAACACGGAAATCTGAAATATACAGAGAAGAATTAAGGTATTTACAAGCAAATAAATAAATTAAACAATAATCAAACCTAGTCACMSCATTTTTTTAAAYCATTKTYCTCAATGTAMAATTGTAAAGTAGCACAAGCAAGAACAATGAAACAAATACRAATTATATTCACGAATGACGATGATAAGCACCATCCATTAAAATGGAAATGAGATTACATTAAAAAGTCCATTTTTCAGGAAAATAGTGCATTTTTGGTACCACTCACCTTTCATATACACCTCTGGAGACGCATCTTTGATTGGCACAATTCTGGTATAAACTTTCCTCCTGCATTGGCGCCGGCCTATATTGAGGTGGATAGTTTCGTGTTTTCGCATCTTCCGCCAAATTAATGTAGTGATAATTGCTTGATGGCACATTGATATTCTTCTGCTTGTTGTCCGTTAGCGTAGACGAATAATACGGCCATGCAACCTGGAGATGAAATAACGTGTTTTCCCACAAGTTTTGTCCTGAGATGCAAAAACAACTTACTTTAGCAGACGGAGGTGGTGGTGGTTGCAACTTATTCTGAATTTGCTGTAAAATTTCAGAAGTGCTGCTGAACTGCGGTTGGATTCCACATACACTCGGTCGCCTATTGAATCCATAGTCATCATTCTCATCGTCTTCGTCGTTGGCTTTATTTCCTTTTGACGATTGTTCCGTCGGTTGGTATCTACAGAATATTTATTAGAATCGGAAATGTTACCGATTTCAAAATGATTGCATACTTTTTCTTAATGCGTTCGATTCTGCCAGCATCCTGCTGAACAAACATGGCCAATTCATCTCCAGATTCCGAAGCGGATGGCGTGCCGGCCAACACGTCCGGCGCATTTCTTTTGCGATCATCATCTGCAGTTTTTAAACCTTCATCGATATCTTCAAGGCTGTATTCTGTTCCAGAGCTTGCTACAGATACGCGATCACCTGTAATAGAGGAACGTGGTGTACAATTATCTCCGTAGTTTGCACAAAAAGTGCAGATTATTACAATTTTTTTACTAAATGAAAATCTCTGGTCAACTCACCTGGGTGATTATTACTCATGTGATAGTAATAATCCTCATTGTGGGCTCCTCCCATAGAGACACATGCGGTTAATGGGGCAAGAGTGGAGAGAAACTGTCTTCTAGATTCGTTCGTATTAGAGGCAGAATTAATTTTGTTGACGACAGCACCGTGACCGATATCTGGAGGATATGGTAACATGCGAAACTGTTCGTTAAGATCTTGGTTAGGAGGACCGCCTGCAAAAACACGAATTTATGAATGTTCGCTTGATTACTGATAATTTTCAATAATACTGATTGGTTTTGTGGATCGTGTAGAAATGGAGTTCGGTTTTCAATTATGTAATATAAAAACTTCTTCGTCTTAAAATAAGTGAAAATATCAAAGATTGATACAGTTGATAAGTGGCCGTCAAAAGTATAATCAGGAGAAATCCAAAATGTTAGTGTTTCCAAACTAACCATATAAACTTACTAACTTGGACAATATCCAGATATCTTAGAGCGCATAGTATATAATCTTTGGAGACGCAAAAAATCTCAGAAGATAGCCCGAACTTTGGAACGTAACTTAAATTACAAAAACCTATTTTTCTTTCTTTCTCATCAAGTTAATTTAAAAATGCCCAAAAATTAAATAGCTTTCAGCTTTAGAAAAATATGCATACAAAAACAATATGTAGATATAACAACCAGACACCTTAAGAAAAATGGAAATAAAAACTATTTACCATATAGAGAAGTTTTACTATAAAATGGTTACCAAAAGATAATTTTTAAAGAAAAGTATGGTGCAAAGATAGAATAGCGTTTCTGATACCAAGAAACTTCAAATGTTCATATTTTCTTGTAGTTGTTTGCATTGTTTTACTACCTGCTGTTGATAAATTAACTTTCATATACAAGTGTTCAACATATTTGTAGCTATTTTTATAAAAACTATTACTTTCTACCAGTTTGCCTCCAGTTTTGGGGCCACAAGTTATTTGCAAGAAAGACTAATGTTTACAATCCATTCTAAAATATTAAGTGTAGTTTACATTTATAGACCATTCCGAAAATTGAGAAGAATAATTCCTCTTAGAAACGAGGTTTTACGCAAGAAGATTCATAATATTTAGCCAAACTTCTATAAATATTTTCAAAAATGGTTGCTAATTGAAACATCGCCAAACAATTTTTCAATTGTACAAATTTATGTCATAAGTTCAAAACTGTGTTCACATTTCCGATAAAAGAATTTTTCATTTAATTGAAAAACTAGCAAATAATTCCACTGATAAATAATTTTCAGGCAAAATTACACCTTTGGATTCCAGATTAATTATTTTAGTGCTTATTTTAACTTTAAGTTCGACCATATTTTCTGGTAGTGGAGTAACCGCGGAGCTCAATGGGCTTGAAATTAGCTTAAATTATCTTCGAAATTCAACCCTATGGCAACAATCCAAAGTTGTTTCAGCTTATGTTTTAATACAGTTAATATATTTACTTTAGCTTAAACCCCACGAGTTTGTAGACCTAATCCTAGTAATATTGTTGAAGTAAAATATTTTACAGCAGTTCTGTCGAAATTGCTCAAAATGAAGATGATAAGTGGTTAGTTAAGTTCAATACTCTGTGGATGTATGAATAGCGTGTCTATTTAAATTTATAAAATATGAGTTTATTAAGCATTAAAACTTTTCTTGTCAATATCTGGAAATTATTAAGCGTTTGGATGAATAAAAGAAACAACTGGTCCCACTAAATGGACAACGATATCACTTTTACCAGCACAAAAATATCAGGTCCAAAACAAGTCGATATAAAATGCCTGTGGAATTGTAGATGCAACAAAAAACTGCTTAGATTTTTGGTTGCTATAAGACTTGGATGGCAATGGAGAAAAGAGAAACGAGAAAATAGAAGGACACAAAAGTAGGCAGCAAATTTTAAATAATTGGAGAGAAACGTATTAACTTGCAAATCTTCCTAAAAAACAAATTATTTGTTGCACGAATTAATAATTACTTGCTCTGGAATTTACACTTCTGCAGCAGCAATTATTATTTGGAAATTATTTAGATTGAAGCTACATGACTCCCAAAGCCATTAGTTACTTCTCTTTAAGGTAGATATTTGGAACAAACGTATAAAAATTAATTGAATGAACTTATAGACGAATGATTCCCCTTGCTTTTTTCCTGAAAAGTTTTTTGCGAGTGAATAAATTATTGACACCTTTAACAAATCAGTTGATCACTGGATAAAAAAATGAATGCAAATTTTCAAGTTACAAAAACTCCCTTCCTTGTTAAAAATTAAACAAGTTTTCGAAAAACCGTATAAATTAATATAAAAATATTGCACTAAGACTCAAAACTCAAACTCAAAACTCTTTGAAAAAACTGTTCGTTTTAAGAAGGAATTACAAAAAACAAGATTTCGTGTAAAGTTAAAGTAAAACACAGACTTGCCTAATGACCTTATTAAACTTGGAATGCACCAAAAAGGCAAAGACCAGGCTATAGATACAGCATATGTTACATAGTTCGCTAAGGAAAGTTTTCTTTTAAGCCAGAAAAAAAACTGCTGAATATTCCGTTATTAATATATTCGACAGAAAAATTGAATATGTATTATTACAGGCATCACGATTAGCATAGTTCGAGGAGATCGTTTCCATATTTTGATTCAATAAAAGGTCACATTGACCCCAATAGAAACGAAATAAATCCATTCAGGAATTTCGTCCAATCAAATAAATCCCGAAATGGACATTTCTTGATCGCGACCTCTGGATCACCCCGTTACGCGAAGGGCACGAAGAATTATGAGTTGGCAATATTGCGAAAAGGAGACCGTAAAAAATGAGTCACGCTTAAATCGTACCCTTGCCGCAGTGGACTTTTATCTGCAATAAACTTTATGATCATTATTTTAATATATAAATCTAAGCCATATAAGACTTTTTCCGGCAATCGTTCAGAAAATTGGATTTCCTGGCACTGACCGGCAAATAGTTCAGGGTTCGAACAAGTTTTTTTGCCATTTAACATTTTTATTCAAAATAAACATTTTATTTCAGCGATTGCATTGCATTTGCAGCACTTGTTTAATTGACATTACACGATGTGAATTTTAGATAAAATCTTTTCGAAATGCAGTGGCTTTTAGTTGAAATCCGGGCGCATTGAATGCGTCTCCCATTGAAAAGTTACACTAATGAGAGCGTTGTAACTGTATATAACTTAGGGCGAGTTTTATTTGAAACCAAAATATCCATTAGTGTAGTTAATAATTTGTGGGTAGTTCAAAGCCGATCTGGGCCCCGTTTGGATGATATACATTCGGAATAAGCTTTGAATTACTGTAAATCGAGCACTCAAACATTTTACATGTAGAGCTTTGCAAATGTGGATTTTCTATCAAAATTTCGTGATGCAGTTTTGTAGATTAATTGTGTGATCGCGAAGTGACATGTGAAGTGATTGTCCATAAAATTTTTAGTATTTGTGAAGCTTTAAACTCGCATTTTTCAACAAAGTATTTTTAATTACTAGCAGTAGTCCAAGTAGACAGCGTTGCAAACATTATTGGGAATTTGTCTCCAAAAAATTGTCTTTTAACTTAACTGGGTAACTTTTCTGATCGATTTTGGCAAAAATCAGACCTACTTATTTGCATCGACTATTCGATAATAAATTAATAAAAACTAAAAGAAACATGTTAAACGAAAACAAGCATTCTTAAACACACATCCAAATTTTCTCTTCACTCCTGGAATTTGAATTAAATTTCTAATCATATGATCATGTTAACTTTTTCGTTTAACATAAACGGTTAGAGATAAGAGCTTGTCTGTTTCTTCAGAATACATAGATAGAAAGGGGGCTTTTTGTCTTACTTCGAACCTGCATAATGGTGCAGGTGATTTTTATTCAATGTATCTAGTTTTTTGAAACAACATAATTTTGAATTTTAGCATTTTGTGTAGAACCTAATACAATCAAATTGTGTTTTATACGAAAAAAGTGCACCGTAAGGCTCTATAAAACAAAATAAAAATTAAAGTTTAGCAGATCAACCGGTTCTCTAAATACGATCAAAAAACTAGAAGCAATTATCACAATTTTTTGCATTTTGCGTGGAAACTAAAAATAATCCAAAAATTTAATTTTACATGTAATGTACCTGGATTTTTCGAGTTTTATAAGCGGTACGCATTTTAAACCTCAATCCCCATAAAAAAGCATTTCCAAAACCTCACCAAAAAAAAAAAGAAAAAAAAGGTTGATAATTTATAGAGAATGCACGCGAGGCGCTAATAAAACTTTGAATTGTGACAAATAAATCCCATATATTTATCTAAAAACCAAAGAAATAAGAAGGTTGTTATTTCTGCGGCGATTCTGGAAAATGAATTTTATAAATTTCAATTGCAAGAAATGGTTTTTACAAAAATAAAAAATTTAAACGATAGCGATATAAACAAACAAACGATCCACCATGGGTTATCAAATGATTTGCAACTTTAACGCAGAATTAAAAAATAACGAGAACCTTTGGGTATACTATTTCAAAAACGAAAGCTGCTGTTGATAGTTTTTTTTAATCTCTTCATAGTTGAAACAGTTTTAGCAAATCTAACTGGCAAAATTAAATAAACATGGCAATATGTGTGTATCTCTAACCATCCATTTCACACAAATGAAACAGCCTATATAAGAAAAAAAAAAGATCTAAATTCCATAGAAGCAAACTTACTAAAGTAAGAATTAAAAAAATGTGGAAACTACTACTGACAAAGACCTACCTACTACTGTTCCATAAAGTATGACAATAAGATTTTAAAGTGTGGTAATTTAAAAAGAAAAACAACTAAGCATTTAATATTTTCAAAAGGGCTTGTTGTCATTCAGCACTTTCAAACATTTTACATTCAGGTTTTCGTAAAAGCAATTATTAAATTTTATTGGATGTTTCGCGAATAAAATGCCAAAATGATAATTCAGATTTTTTTTTAATTGCACAAAAGCATCAAATAATGATAATATAAAGCTTCGTTACTGATATAGGTGGTACAAGGTGATAAAGTATAATGACCAAAATCCATTAGTCCGTTACTTCTAATTTTTTTTCTCTTACATAACTGTTGGTTTCGGAACCATCTAAAGGGTTTATTTCATGGCAAATTGCCTTCTTTTCGCTTTCATTTTTATCTGGTATGTTTAGTACAAAAATAGTGCGATACACATTTTTGCAGCACAAAACGTAGTTAAAAACGTATATTTTCAATGCTTTCAATATGAAAATCGAATTGTTCTGATGATTGTCTGGATTATGAAGAAATTAGTTAATTAAAGTGCTTGTAATAAATATAAAAAAATAAATGATCAAAGAAAGTCTGCACCGAAATAAGCGTGAACTAAAAACGAAAAAAATTACATAAATATTTAAGTGACAAAACTTTGAGTCATTTCTATTCACAAACAGTATCAGAAATTGGCAAATAAAACATATTATAGCTTAAAACACTTTCCATTACATTGCTAAAATTATTGTTATCGTTTCTCCAAATGAAGGCACTCTAAGCCAGCGTCTGATCCGAGATGAAAATATTTTATGAAAAAAATCATCCTTAATTTTATTTAGTTCATAAAATCGTAATTGCCTTTCCAGAGATAAAGCACCAAAATGGCGAAATCATCAAAAAAGCCCTCTCTCTTCCTTTCGATGGGTTATCGATGCACTTTTAAAAATAAAAACATGTCTCGAGGGAGGTTCTTGCTTGATTGTGATTCGAGCGAAATCCCAACGATCCAGACATCATTTGGCCGACGTATAAATTAGCCTTGAAATGCTGGAAGCGAATTGATAAATGCGAAAAAGAGACACGGATAACCTATATATCATAATAAGGGCTTTGTCTTCTCGAATATTTCGCTTCATCGGAAAAATTGCATTTTCTCTAATACATATTTTTGATCTGTTTTCTTCGTTTTTATTAATTATTCATCTTGCTTCTGATAGGGCAAATAAATAACGATTTTCAAGCCAGCATTTTATCTACACGTTTAGAGGTGCAAAAAACGTTGCACATCAAGAAAAACAGAAATGAAACAAAATATAGACATCTTCTAGTTAAAACTTAGGGTCCAAATTAAGACTTAAATTAGAGTCACTGTGTTGGATTCCTTCAATTAGAATGTGTAGTGACTTTATATTTTTTCAACAAATTGAACAATATTGAATCTGAATGCATGGCTGTTCATGTCGCTTTCATCTGCTTAGTTTGCACAAAATGTTCTTCAGTAAATAGAGAAAATATGCCGTTTATTTGTTAAGCTTTGATTGCCTCCAACCAAGGCATGGGAGAAAAACATCGATGTAATTCGTTCGATGTTCGATATTTTTACCATCGATGTTGGAAATTTGGGACATCGATCAAACATCGATGTAAAATCCTGAAATAAAAACATCGGACATTTGGTGTTGATACTAGATAGAAACATTTTTTGCAAACTCTTTGATGTTGTCAAACATCGTTGTTCTGCCTTCAATGTTTCCCTAACATCGATATTACCTTTCGATGTCAACATATAACAATCGATGTCCCATCCGTACTCCAAACCCATGATTCGTTTTCGAATTTACATGATCCTCAGTATTAAAGATATTTATTCAGTCCTCAGCAGATTTATTCGTTGTCATTTAATTTCGTTTGCACTTTTTTTTAAGAACCACTTTAAATTCAGAACATATTTTATTTACAGACACCGAATATCACTTTCACAAAATTCAAGCTTCTCGCTTAAAACTCGCTCAGTAGTTATTCTGGATAACATAATATTACACCATTTCTTTGTTTTTTTGAAGTAAATCTTGATTTCATTTGCTTTGATTAAAATCCCATATTTCAAATGTTTCTGTTTTTTAGAAAGCAAATTCTCATATTATCTCATTATTATTTTGCTGAAATGTTTTTATAACTCACCAATATCAGGCAAATTCTTTATTTCTCTTCTAAAGTTATTCTGAATATCTGGCAGGGTTTCGGATCTTTTCGGGTCGATCATCAAAATTTGCTCGCTGGTTGCTGACAGTTTTCTCGCCTAATTAAAATTAGAAATTATTTTAGAATATTATATACAAAAGTCTAATTAATGTTAGATACTTAAACGTGTTAATAGATTGCTGAAAAAGTTGGAAATTTTTTAGAACTTCCACATCAGCTTTTAAAGTTCCTCTTAAAAATAACAAAAAGCTCAAATCAACATTATTTCGAGTCGTAAAAATTGAAGAATTATCGAGATTTAAGAATTGTAGGATTATAATGCATACAAAATACATTTTTTATAGAACACACAACAAATTTTAAAAGCGTGACAGCGTATACAAACTTGATAGACAAAATAATATTTACTAACTAAACACAATATAAGTATGAATTCGTTATGTATGTTTGCGATATAAATTTATAATCTTTAAGCAGCCGGAAAAAGCAAATTCTTTCATTTTAAGTGGTAATGTGCAGGATTATTTATTATTGATCATTTCAACATTTCATTGAAACATGAAATAAACGATTTGAAAAATTTTTACTTCACACTTTGACTAAGACCAAGGAAAGATAAGTAAATTCTAAGGAAAAAATTAACGTAGGTTTCAAAAAGGCATAATATAGAAAATATGATCCATTTGTGTATGAGGTGGGAAAATGTGAAACTGTAGGGCAATATTACGGATTTAGTTGTCACTCACTCTGCAGAATTAATTATATTACTAGAAAGACAAAACAAATTATGAAAATAAGTTACTAGAAATGTACACAGGACGTACAAAAACTTAAGTTTTAGACGTACATAACCTTTGCCTCAAATTTCTTTCGTATTTTAAACGAGACATCATATATGTTTTTACATCAATGCCTGAAAAAATATTAAATTTTTTTTATATAACGTTATCCTTCTAGAGCCACTCGTTTGCCCGATAATTACGATTTGTTACGCAAATGTTAAAAAACAGGCAGGTTTGTAGTATGACCTGTAAATTCAAACTTAACAAGAAGAACTGTCACCAGTAACACTATAAAAAAACTATAATAATTTCAATTACTGAATGAATTAAGTAAATGGATTCCTGGAAAAATTGGACGAATAAATTAAGTGTTTAAAATGATCGCGGTGAATGATTATTCAAAACGTCGTAAACCGCAAATTACGCTCAGGCAAAGTGGCATTAAACTGAATTTTAGATGCTCAAGCACAATTTAATTTAAAACATAACTTTTATTGACTCAATCTTTAATTTTTCTGATTCAAGAGCTTTTATCTTTTCTCATATAACATACCAAAAGGTACGCATACGAAGACGCATACAATAGAAAATTATTATATTTTGTTCCGGAATTGAAATTTGCTCAGAAAGTTTTTCAATATTCAGTAAAACTCGAAAACAGTGGGTAACCAAACGTCTAAATAATAATGATTCTAATTTAATATATTCCGTTATTAAACTTTTTCTTAATGGCATACCTCTGTTGAAACTTGTTTTCATTTATTTATGCATTTATGCTCGATCATAATAAGCATGCATTCATCCGACGCCTTAGCAAAGCTATATTAGTTTCATAAATTATTCAAACGTGTCGTAAAAACTGATAATCTGAGAAAATAAAAATAAATTGATAAATAAACTGGCTAAAAGCTTCCTTCAATCACAAACTGTAACTTTTCTCACCTGCTGATAGCTTTGGTTTATCGACATTGAACTATTCGAAGATGTCGTGCTAGATGAGGAGGGAGAGAAGCTTTTGTCTTGAGTTTTATTGACACTCAAAGTGTTCACGTCGGGTGAATTCCTCGCTTCTTCTCCCGGTGGACTCGTTCGACTGTCTAAAATATCCTCCGCCTGCTCGTTGGTCCCACTGGATGAAGGATTTGGCTCTGAAAATAAAAAGCAACTAATAATTAATACAAACAGCGGCTACATTGAATAAGCCACCTACAATAATTATTATAACTAAACAGCGTTTTCTTGGCTTTAATGCTGCACAATTGATTCAGGTCACACATTTAAAACTCTAAATGCCGGTAATATTTGTATTCTTCTTCGTACTGATACAAGACACCGATTGCTTCAAATGAAGACTTCTAACAGAAGATGTACATGGTAGTGCGTTACGGTGTTTACTCACATACCGTCATGCCCACACATATGACTTATGAATAATAAAAAAATCTTTTCTGGCGGAAATAATGGCTTTACGTGGGGTATTGAATATGATCATATACCAGGGCACCGATTAAGTGTAAACTGACACACATATATACAGGTGGAATATTCTAAAATGTTTCCTTTTCTGGAACAAAAAAAAATATATTTTTGCTGAAAAGTTGATCACGGATGATTCTGTTTTTTAATGGAAAGCACTTTTATTCAGTTTTCAAAAAAATGTTGTTGCAAAACTCATCCAAATTGGTAGTCCCCAGCCCAATTCAGAAGCTTTACAAAAAATGTCTGTCTGATCTGGTCTGAAGAGGAAAACCGAAAACTCCCTACAGGCTCTTACGGGACCTGAAACTTCTAATCTGCATAAACCCCACAAATCCCGTCAGTTGAGCGCAATATAGCTTTAAGGCGTCAAATTTTCTATTTAATCTCATATATAAATGATACATCCTGAGGATGGCCAAATTTCGAAATTGCGTAGTTTCTTTAAGGAAATTTTGTATTGTTTTGATTCTTTCAAGGACTCTAAAGTGCAAAAATGCCGGAAATCTCACAACTTGGGGCGGAAAATAAAAAACCTTCAGTCGTTCGTTTATAATTGAGTTTCGACCCAAAGTATTTTTACATGCAAAGTTTGTGGTACTTAACTTAACATTTATTAAGCTGATGCAATATGCAGATTTAGTTTTAGCGGTTGGGAATGGGACAAAACACCGACTTAAAAMAACTTTACTTTGCTAGTTTTAAATGTTTTCCTCCATGGTATCTTTAAGAAAATTTATTCGTYGCAAAAAAACTCGATTTATCATAGCGTGAAATCATGKCTTTAGTTTCCATTACATTTACTCGATTTTTTATTTGCTYTTTTAAGAATTACATAGTTCTTGAAGGGRTGTCCAAAAATGTTTTGATATGAAAAAAAAAA